CAGAATTCCCCACCCAGCTGGGGAAGTCCACACATCTTCAAGTGGCCAAGGTTGAGAAACACTAGTCCAGAGACTGAGAGAGGAAAAAATGTTACATTGAATGAAGCTATTGAGTTCATCCCAAATGTTTCTTTTCAATCTTTAGTCTTGTCATTACTGTTTCTCAAGCAGCAGACATTTGTTTTGAAGGAGATAATTAAAAATAACCATGGATTTGTGAAAGCATTGTGAAAATAAGGTCTAACTCTGAAGAAAATAGAGTGAACAAACCAGTACCTGTTCTTCAGATAGATCCTCTTTCCCACAACATGCTGAACTGAGCCAATAGGGGAAAGGCTAGCGATGTCACAGGAATTCCAAACTAGAGAAGAAATAAAGGCTAATTGATCCTATCAGCTAATCCTAAAAGGGGTATATTTAGCCCTAAACAGGCCCAGTCCATCAACTGTATGGAAAATGGAGAAACTGCTGACCATGGAGTTAGGTAACCTTCATTCTAAAATGAAGACGAAAAGAAATGGAGCTCTCTCACCACTCCATCCCTTTTACCCACTCCCTTCATGGTCATAAAGGGGAGTCAGTAAAACCTTCCCAGGTGTGTCACTGCGAATTTTTTCATAGGGTTTTGTTCACTCCAGTTTGGAAAAAAGGGAAATGGGACCAGGACTGGTAGTCTTCCAGTCTGATTTATAATGGTGGACAAGACTATAAAAATGGCTGCTGTAACACAGACGGATTCATCCTCTATTATGTGCTGCAAATGCATTATGCTGAATCTGTTGACTAGGAAAGTGATAGCTAGTAGGTCATGCCATGGGAACAGTTCACAGAGCCTCAGACTGACAATTTAAATATGCCTATTTTAATAGCTATTGCATCTTTGGAACCTGAAGAGGAAGTGATGGAGATAACCAACTCCTTTTATTATTTATGTAGGAGTACCATATTTAGGTTTTAAGGCTTCAGGTAGCCAGTAGGTGGCAACAAAGAATTCATGTTTTGTTTTGTTTTTCCTCTTTGCTGCCCTAAGCTGGTTGTATGCATTTTTGCAGCCCAAATATGATGATTCTATTTACTGTATTGCTTTTCATTTGGAAGAGATTTTACAAAGAGATTTAGAATCAAGTATTTGAATATAATCTTTTAAAAAACAATCTTATGAAACTTGGGAATGTACCCCAGGAGCAATTCTTCTGAAGGTAGTGAAGAGTGTCAGGGAGATGACCTTGAGAGAAATAGGCAAGAACTATTACACAAGCAAAGGGGGATGAAACATTTCTTAGGATCCTTCCTAATTCACTGAGATATAAGAGGGAGGGGACATAAAGCACAATCAGGCTTAGAGTCTATTGAGATACACTACAACAACAGAGTAGAAGATTACTCTACTCTGTTCTAATCTTCCTATGGAGATAGTTTCCTGATCTGGTCTGCCTTATAGGGCTGATAGGTGGAGAGGTATGTCATTACAGGTAGCCCTTGAAGTCCTTTGAAGTTACGATGGCGCTGAATGAATGGTAGTTATGACCAGTCCTTGGAGTTCCAGCTATCCCAGCACCCCTGCAGTCACGTGATTGCGATCTGGGTGCTTGGCAACTGGCTCACACAATCGGTTGCAGTGCCCTGGAATCAATGTGATCTCCATTTGTGACCTTCTCTGCTGGCTTCCCCAGAAAGTCAATGGGGAAGCTGGCAGGGAAGGTCACAAGTTGCTGGGGTAAGTGTCCCCCACCCGCGCACTCTCCCCCAGCCCCTCTGCGCTCACGCTGCACCGGCCACTCCCATGCACCCTCCCTGAGCCTCGCCATGCTTCCCTTACCACTCATGCACTCTTGCCTCCCTGATCCTCACCGTGTCTCCCTCACACCCTTGTGCACCCTCCCTGAGCCTCGCCATCTCTTCCTTGCACCCTCGCACACTCTCCTTGAGCCTCACCATGCCTCTCTCTCACGCTTGGCGACCCTCACTGTGCCTCCCTTGCACCCTCATGCACTCCTGTGCACACTCCTTGAACCTCACCATGCACCCCTTGCATTCCTGCATGCACCCTCCCTGACCCTTACCATATTACCCTTGCACACCCTCCCTGCACCTCACTCACACCCTTGCGCATCCTCTCACACCCTTGTGCACCATCCCTGACCCTCGCTGTGCCTCCCTTGCACCCCCCTGAACCGACAGCAGCCATTTACCTGCATGTTGGCCTGCTTGCAAGCCGCCTGGGACTTGCAATTTCCTGCTGGCTTCCCCAACTGACTTGGTTGTGGGAAGCTGGCAGGAAGTTGCCTCGCCTAACAACTATGGGACTCAGGTTAACATTGCTTAGTGATGGAAATTCCAGTCCCAATTGCGGTTGTAAGTCAAGCACTACCTGTATAAATTTACCTTCAAAGTTCCTCCCCAGTGGTAGAAGTACCCAATTATGGCGAGAGGTTATATTAGGATACAATTTTGGGTCCCCCTTATTTTCCTGCCACACTCTAAATTGAGCTAAAAACCAGTTACGAATAACAGCATAGAAAACAGAAAAGCAAAAGGTGACAATGACTAATCAGTTTTTATCCTGGCCAGCTGCAAAAATTAGGATTGCTCTTTTGTTTGCCCTATGAAAGCTTCTTCTAAAGTGAGCAGTGACTTTGGATTAAAGTGCTCAAATTTAGGTCAATAAATTGAAAATACATTCATATTTAGGAAAACATATAAAAGTACTAGGATTCACTTCTCATTCAAATTGTTTTTCAAAGGAAAGAACTAGAGTCACTTGTATAGTAGATGGGTGGCACATATAAATTTGAAAAGTAAAAAATAAATTTTGTTCATTGATTTACATTAGTGGACTTAATTTAGACAGGGTCACTTGATACATAGTTGCTTTGCAACACATAAGAAAAAGTGATAAACATGTTATCTGTGATATTTTATCATGATTCTACAGCTAAGTGTTGAAGTTAAATACAGTTCAACAGAGTTCAAACGTAATATTGTCTCTTTTTTGCCCCTGCAGGAACAATATGAATTCTGCTACAAAGTGGTACAAGATTTCATTGATATATTTTCTGATTATGCTAATTTCAAGTGAAAATGCCTGCCATATTTTTTATTTAATCATCTGTACAGAGATTTGTAAATCATGTTAATTTATTTAATTTTTTTTTAATCTAAATGTACATATGATCATATAAGTTTTGCTTTCAGTGTCTCTTCAGGTGTATATATGACTTAAATAAGCTTCCACCCTAATCCAAAGGAGTATGCACAGACCCTTTTCATACAATAAAATAAACTTCTAGTCAGCTGTTTGGTGGTAAAAGGAAAGAGCTGAGCTATGGGTTTTCTGTAGTTTTGAAAGGACTTAATATGTACACTCCAACTGGTTGATAAAGGAGGAAAGCTGTACACACAGAATATAATTGCATGTTGGACTATCCATTCAGCTGAAGAAATATGTGCAAAACCTGTGTCTGCATGTGTAGTAACCCTAACTAGGTCAAGGTTTTGTGTTTTTGTTGTTTTTAGTTTTAAATAATTGATGCCCATGTACAATATATTGCAGTCTACTGTTATGAATACAGGCACAATCCAGCCTATGTTAGGCATATTTAAGACCCACTGATTTCAGTGGGTTTAGTAAGCATATGCTTAAATATTTCCCTTTGAAATTAATGGGACTTTGGGTCCAGCTAAACGTCTGAAAGCACTGACGCTGAAATGAAACTAAAGTACATCTGATTGGTGGCTTGGATGATAGCCTGCTGATCACGGGGAGCCCATGTAAGAGCAAAACATATTAACAGAATTTTAAATCTCCTTGATTTTGGCCGAATCTTTCCCATATTTTGTCTAAATGCATGTGCAATTATGACCCATTATCTCTAATCTTAAGTTTGTAATTACATTAATTTTTAAAATTTATTTTATATAGTCCATAATATCTATATAAAAAAGGAAAAAGAGTACATTTGTCAGAACTAAAAAATCATCATGCTGTCATAGAGCAATATTTTATTTGAAGCAAGTTCCATTTAATGATTATTCTACAAAGATGTTATACCAACTGGGCTGAAATTAGTATGGGCTACCCAAGATAGACAAAAATTCTTGAGTCTTAATTTTAATAAGATTTACATCTGTCTCTTGTTTTTGTTATGTTGATGCTATTGTGGTTATTAATATATTTGATCCTCATATAGCATCACTAATATCAATGTGGACAATTCACTGAGGTAGACACTGTACAGAGTGCACTAGAATGTGAAAATATTCTAAATATCTTAATTTTGTCAATACCAATTAGATCCATTTGCCTCTTTGATACTGTTTTGATCTTTACAATTAAGCACAATTAGAATAGAGAGGAACATAAATCTTCCATAAGCAACAACATAAGATATAATTTTAACTTTTTAAAAAATGTATATTTTTAAAAACAGGATTCTAGGAAATTCTGTTTTAATGCAAGTTCTCAATTAGTACCACAGTGTAAATATGGAGTTTCTTAAATTTAGTTAAGCAGTCTTAAAATATAATTTTAATTTATCATTTTATTTTATTGAATTAACAGAAAATATATTTAACTTATAAACCAGCTGATCAATATTTGAAACTATTTTGTATCAAGAAATTTTGTTTTGTTGTCATAAATAGCTATAAAGCCAGATATTACATTTATATAAAGAAAAATGTATCTCTTCAGTTTAAAGCAATCTAGTTACTGTTACTGAAGGTAATAAAACTTAATGAATGGCTTTGTCATTATTAAGCCTCATTGAATATCAAATTTTCAATATTCAGTTCACAGAAATGCCCTTAATTACTTGAGTTCCTTTAATATCCATCGCACTTAAGTAAAATAATGATCCCCTGCGCTATGTCCCCATAAATCCAGTTGCTCCTTATCTTCAAAGTGCATATATATTTCCAAAATGAACCAAGATAGTCTTATTTCTAATGTGGCCAACATGAGTCCAGAACTTAGAAGCGCCATGTAGGTGTCAGAATACCCACAGGTCTTTAGGTTGGGCTATTCGTGTGCAAACAATCATGCACTAAAAAGCACAAAACCCAATCATCTTGATAGGACTTGTATAGCAGCTGCACCCTGTAGTTCCATCTTAATGGCTGCTGCAACATTTCTAAGTTCTTACAACAGAAGAAACATTTTCTTGATACCAACAAAGGGAAATAGTGATTTCTGTCTTTCAAAAAGAAAATAACATAAGCCTGGATCCAATTATGATTAATTCCTTTTGTTTTCTGAAAATAGCAGAGGCTGCTGACAGAGGAAGAGGGTAAATTATTTTATACTCTCTACCTACTGTAGTTCCCTACTCACTCAGTTCCCCATGCAATTTTTTAAAAAGTTGTTCTGGAACAACCTGGGGAATAGTGTAAGAATAGTGATGGAGATATTCTTAAAAATGTCCACCCATCCCTTCCCCTGTGGAGCAACTGATGAACAGAACTCTGCTCTTCAGAAGTCTGGATCATACATACAGTCAGAACAAAACTAGGATGACAGTGAAATAACACAAATAGACCAGTGTTTTTCAACCTTGGCAACTTGAAGATGTGTGGACTTCAATTCCCAGAATTGCCCAGCCAGCACAGCCAAGGTTGAGAAACACTGCAATAAACAGTACATTTTATTTCTCCATATTTTAGAAGGTATATATGTAAAAGCACAAACATAATTCATATAAATTTATACAAATGTCTATATAATATGCAATATATCTGGCTTGTCTGGTTGTTTTATGAATTATTAATGCCTTATTAAAATTATGTAGACTGCAAGATGGTCATTACTTTAGCTCCTGTTCTTTTTAATTCTACATACATTTAAATTATTTCTGGAAGGAAAAGAAAAGTGAATACTTTTAATAACCTAGAAGACAACAAAACTTCCACATTAGGCCTTACTTAATTACTTTTAATTGTTAAACAGTTCAGATTAGCAGCCTACATATTATTTTTAAACAGTTTTTTACATCTTCTGAAAAAAAAATTATATGCATACATACAGTTGTATGCACCTAAAGAATCACATTTATTTTATGAAGCAACTGATATTAAGGATTCTAACCTCAAAAAATGTTATGTGGTTTAGGAATATTAAGTAAGCTTTCTATACTAGTATTTGATGGAATTTTAAAACACCTTAGATGAATAAGATTTACAGTTTGCTGTGGTATAGACCAAAATCCATTGAGTCCACCAAAAGAGGAACAGTTTCTACTTACTGCTTTGGAAACTGCTTCTAGCAATTTCAAACACTTTCTAAGTGAGTTATGTGGAAACTGCTGTTTTTTGAAAATTCATAAATAATAATCCTCTGGGTTTTGTTTTTTTTTTCCAAAACGGATCTTCTGTTAAAGGGTCATCTTGCGTAGATGTGAGGGTAGAGGTTAAAATCAGGAATTATTTTACGCATCTTGAAGTCTTGAATGAAACACCTGTCCTTCAGCTGTCTTGATTCCTGAGTCCCTTCTCATGTATCTGTCTAAGTAAGCACCTTTGCAACTTGACATAAAACAGTCACCAGTTTAATCTATTTCATACCTCTTGGTAAATCCGGCCTACTACAACTAGATGGTTTTTATTCATCCATGCCCATGACTGAGGTCTTTGCTGCTTCCTATATAGTCTTCTAAGTCTAACCCAACTCTCCCTGAACTGGCACCACCCAGATGTGTTGTACTTTATCTCCTACTCAAACATCAATGGCTGTATTGTTGATTGAAGGATTATGGGAGTCTAACACACTTGGAGGGAACCAGATTTGGAAAGTTCTGTAACACATAATTGTATCTCTGTGAGTCATTTAAGGGACAGCATTGTACTCTGTGTTTAAATTACCCATCAAAAGCAGAGAAAAATCCTGCATGTTTGCAGAAATATGTATCATTGTTAAAAACCACAACTATGTTATTCTATAAAGTAATATAGAAACAAAATTTCTATTAAAAAATGCACATAAGATCCATAAATGAAAAGGACTGATTTCTTAAATTCATACTTGTTGATAAACTACAGAAAACAGAATATTTGGAGTTGGTGCAATGTGACCAAATCAAATCTAAACAGTCTCCTCCCAACCTGTAAAATATATTTTGCAGTAACTGACTTTAAATAATTCTGTAGGATTCTGTTAGAAGAAAGCCAGAATACCCAACGTAATCTGTTTCTTAGATATTCTTCAGGCTATTTAGTTCTGTGTAATCCCATATGATGACAAGATTTGTCCCATGTGTAAAATAATTAATTCTGAATCTAACCAATAATGGAAAGGTTACAAAGTTCAAGGACTTTAGCATTAGAAAATGTATTTTTCAGTTCAAAGGTTTTTAGTCAGATTAGGCTGCTATACAGGTAGTCCCCGAGTTAAGAACGCCTGGTTTAGGGACAACCCATAGTTAAGAATGGAGCCTATTGTAGCAAAATTTGAGTTAAATACACAATGGTTTGAGTCAATTACCCCACGCTACTTATACAGTATTATACAATAATACTGTTCTGGCTTACATACAAATTTGACTTAAGGACAGAACTTGGGAATGGAACTCCTTAAACTGGGGACTTCCTCTACTTCATATAATGATGTAACAAATATCT